CACCACCGCCCCCACCAGCAGCAGCAACAATAATAATAATAATAATAATAATAATAATAATAATAATAATAATAATAATAATAATAATAATAATAATAATAGGTATATAATACGTAAACATATAGTATTAGAGGATTTAGTATTTGGATTTCGTAAGCCTTGTGTATTAGACCTAAAGATGGGTAAAAGGCAAAGAACAATTAATAATAAAGATCCTAATAAAGAAATTAGACAAACTATTAAAAGTCTACAAACTACTAGTCATGTATTAGGATTCAGGTTATGTGGGTGTCAGGTATGTATGTATGCTATTTCCTGATGCTCCTGTTGCTATTTACTGCAGCTGCTGCTGCTGCTGCTGCTGCTGCTGTTGCTGCTGCTGTTGCTGATTGGTGGTGGTGGGGGTTATGGTGATGTATTTAGTGTATTATGGTGGTTTATAATGGTGATGATGATGGTGTTGTTGCTGTTGCTGTTGCTGTTGCTGCTGCTGTTGCTGCTGCTGTTGCTGCTGCTGTATGAGGGGTAATTGTTGTGCATGTTTGTTTGTGTATTTGTTTATGTATTTAGTATTATAATAAGAAAACAGATACACTCTGTTATCGAGATAAATACTGGGGAAGAAAACTCACAAAAGGTAAACTATTGCTGTTGCTGCTGCTGCTGGCTGCTGCTGTTGCTGCTGCTCTTGTTGTATTTGCTGTTGTGGAGTGGCTGATCTATTGATAAGCTGTCGCTCTTTGCTGCTGCTGCTGCTGCGGCTGTGCTGCTGTTGCTGCTGTTGCTGCTGTTGCTGCTGTTATTGCTATATTACCAACTATATAATACCTCATTGGATAGCTAATAATGAATAAAATAACATAAAATAAAATAAAATATAATTAATTAAATATATTTATTTATTTATTTATTTATTTATTTGTGTATACAGAAAAAGTACCTCAAGCAATAAGACAATGGTTTTGGAATGGATTTGCTGTTTATGAAGATTTAATTCCTTGTCTTATGGCCAAGTTAACACTCTTCTATCAATGTAAGCTATAATTAATTAATTAATTAATTAATTATATTTATTTATTTACTTATTTATTTATTTACTTATTTATTTATTTATTTATTTAATTAGTAGTAATTAATTAAAGATGCTTCCCCTGATACCTGATATCTTATGGCCAAATTACCATTCTTGTATCAATACAAGAAATTTATTTATTTATTTATTTATTTATATTTAATTATTTAATTAATTAATTATATTATATATCCTTCCCTCTCTCTCTCTCCCTGTCTGTCTGTCTGTCTGTCTGTGTAGGTGTAGAGAGCCTAAAACATTACCGTTTCTGGTCCTCCTCCTTGTTATGGGTATATGATGGTGGTGTATCTGATCCAGAGATCAGGAAATCTACATTAGATATAAGAATGATTGATTTTGCTAATACTATTTATTTACAAGGTATGCATGCACGTGCTCCTGCTCCTGCTCCTGCTCCTGCTGCTGCTGTTGCTGTTGATGGTGGTGGGGATGGGGGTGATGGTGGTGGTGCAGCAACAGTAGTTGATTGTTGTATATTAGATGCTGTAGATGTTCCTGTAACTCTTCTTCCTCCTGATGCTGTTGCTGCTGCTAAATCTGCTGCTGTTGCTGCTGCTGCTGCTGCTGTTGCTGTTGCTGTTGCAGATAATCCATCTCCTGATGAGGAATATCTATTTGGTCTTCGTAATTTAATTGGAGGTCTTGAGGCACTACTTGCTAGTTGTCAAGCTGCTGCTGCACCGCCACAACCCCTTCCTGCTGCTGCTTCTGCTGCTGCTAGACCGCAGCAACAGCAACAACAACCGCAGCAACAGCAGCAACAACAGCAGCAACCAAGACAGGAAAAAGAAAAACAAAAAGAGGGAGCAACAGATCTCACTCTGGAGTGGCAACCACCAGAAGCAACAACAACAGCAGCAGCAACAGCAGCAGCTGTAACAGCAACACCAGCAACACCAGCAACACCAGCAGCAGCACCAACAGCAGCAGCTGCTGCTGCAGCTGCAGAAAGGGGATTGATGTCTCCTTGGGAGGAGGAGAAGAGAGAAAGTCGTCCCCTATCAACTTCTTCTGGTGCTGCTACACCTGTTGCGGCACCTGCTGCGGCAGCAGCAACTGCAGCAGCAGCAACAGCTGCTGCTGCTGCTGCCTCAGCAGCAGCAAAAGCTTCCCTTGTTGTCAACGCTAATTGTCCTGTCTCCTCATCTCCTCCAAGGGAGATTGCATCTGCTGCTGCAGAACAATCTGGGGATCGTCTCCTCCTTGGGGATCGTCTTGGGGATCGTCTCCTCCCTGGGGATCGTCTCCTCCCTGGAGATCGATTTGGGGATCGTCTCCGACCCCACGATGATGGAGACTTGCAGCGACTCAAACGAATTGGGGAGGGAGAGGATCGGCAGCAGCAGGTTTTTCCTGCTGTTGTTCCTGCTGCAACAAGCAGCAGCAGCAGCAGCAGCAGCAGCAGCAGCAGCAGCAGCAGCAGCGTCGGAGGTCGCCCTCAAGGAAAGGTTGCTTCGGACGATGAAACGGAGCAGCAGCAGCAGCAGCAGCAGCAGCAGATGAGGGATGCAGCAGCTGCTTCCTCCGGGGAGGCACAACCGTCTATGGCGGAGTCCCCTCCGAAGGCTTCTTCAGCACCAGCAGCAGTGCCAGCAGCGGCAGCAGCAGCACCAGCAGCAGCAGCTGCTGCAGCAGGAGTAGCAGCAGGGGTTAAAGCCGCTTCAGAAGTAAGCGGAGGGCAGACAGAGCCCGCAACAGGAGCAGCAGCAGAAGCAGCAGCAGCAACCGAAGCTCCAGCTGCAGCTGCAGCAAAATCTGCAGAAGCAGCAGCCGCAGTGACAGCAACCGCAGCGACAGCAGCAGCAGCAGCAGCAGCGACTACCTCTCCAGTGGAGTTGGCAGTTGCTGCACCTGAGGAAGCTGCTGCTGCTGCTGCAGACCCCGAGTTGCAGCAGCATCCTGCAGCAGCTGCTGCAGCCGCGGCAGCAGCGACAGCGGCTGCAGCAACAGCAGCAGCAGCAACAGCAGCAGCTGCAGCTACAGCAGCAGCAGCAGCACAGACGGAAGGCAGCAGACTGTCTTCTTCTGTGACAGATGGAGGCGCAGCAGGCGGGAGGGAGGTTAGCCATGAGCTGCTGCTGCCTCCTGCTGCTGCTGTTGCAGCAGGTGCTGCTGTTGGGGGCCAAGGGGAGCAGCAGCTTTCTTTGGACATATCCTCTGTTGAGTCAGCAGCAGCGGTAGCAGCAGTTGCTGCTGCTGCAGCAGTTGCTGCTGCTGCGTCTCCTGTTTGCTCCACCCCACATGCTATGCCCCAGTCAGGAGTTGCTGCTGCCGAGCTGCTGCTGTCTGCTGACCTTGGCGAATCCGAAGCAGCAGCAGCAGCAGAAGCAGCAGCAGCAGAAGCAGCAGCGGCAGAAGCAGCAGCGGCAGAAGCAGCTGCTGCAGCAGAAGCAGCTGCAGCAGCTGCAGCAGCGTCTGTTTCTCCGACGTCTAAGTTGCCTCAAGAGCAGCAGAAGCGTCTGGATGACGAGCAACAGGTCCTTCCTTTATCGTCTGCTGCTGCAGCAGCAGCACCAGCAGCAGCTGCTTCAATAGCAGCAGCTGCACCAGCAGCAGCACCACCAGCAGCAGAAGAGCATTCCTCTCTTGCTGCAGAAGGGCAGCAAGTAGGAGAGCAGCAGCAGCAGCAGACTCAGAGCATCGAAACCACCGAGCAGCATCTGCAGCTGCAGCAGCAGCAGCAACAGCAGCAGCAGCAGCAGCAGCAGCAACGAGCACTTGGAGGCCCATTGGAGGGACAAGAATGCTCGGAGTCTCCATTTGCCTTCACGGCTCTCTTTAGGTATTTCTTTATTCCTTTTTATTTTTTTTTTATTTTTTTATTCCTTTTTATTTAATTAATTAAATTAATTAATTAATTAATTATATTTATTTATTTATTTATTTATTTATTTATTTATTTGTTTTTTTGTGTGCAGACGTTCGTTTTCTGCTCCAAGTTTATGTCGGTCAATTTCTTTAAGTCTATTCACAGGAGGTTCATTAGCAGCAGCAGCAGCAGCAGCAAGCAGCAGCAGCAGCAGCAGCAGTAGCAGTAGCAGCAGCAGCAGCAGCAGCAGCAGCAGTGCATGGGAAGGACAACATCCTCCTCTTCTTGCTGGGTTAATGGTTCGTGTCTTGGAGGATGCAGCAACTGTTTATCCCCGCAGCAGCAGCAGCAGCAGCAACAGCAGCAATAACAGCAATAATTGCGGATACTGCAGCAACTGCAGCAGTAATAATAGCTGGGATGGTAGTCATAGCATACGCAGCCGTAGCCGCAGCAACAGCAGCAGCAGCAGCAGCAGCCGCAGTTCCTCTATATCTGCTGTGTCTCCTAGGGAAGGGATAGAGGCAGGATACGAAGCAGAGGATGATGCAGCAGCAACAAGAGTAGCAGCAAGAAGGAGCACAAATAACCTTAGACACAGACGAAGGGAGCAGCAGCAGCAGCAGCAGCAGCAGCAGCACTCGCAGCAGGAGTCGCAGCAGCCGCAGCCGTCGCAGCAGCAGCAGCAGCAACAGCAGCAGCAGCAGCAGCGGAAGCGGCAGCGGCAGAGGAGGCAGCAGGAAAGAGGAGTACGTAGATCCTTCCGTTGCTGCGAGAGTCCGCATATTGAATGGCAGCGTCAAGAGCAGCAGCAGCAGCAGCAGCAGCAGTTGCTGCTGCAGCAGCAGTTGCAGGAGCAGCTGCTGCTGCAGCATTTGGAGCAACAGCAGCAGCAACAGCAGCATACTGGAGCTGTAAGTAGATCGCGTAAGCGTTCTTCTTCTTCCTTACCTCGTGCTGCTGCTTCGCGGCTGCTGCTGCAGGACTTTAAGAATTGCGGCAGGCAGCAGCAGCTGCTGCTGCTGCTGCGGAGGCAGGCAGAGCTGCATGCGATGCAGCAGCAGCAGCAAGAGTATATGCTGCATATGCTGCGGCTTAGCAACAGAGAATTACGTACAGCAGGGCGCCTGCGTGTTGCACCTGCTGCTGCAACAGGAGGAGGTCGATCTACACCAGCAGCAGCAGCAGCTGCTGCTGCTGCAGCAGGAGAGGGGCCCGGGCCCCCCGGTTCCCCCAATGCAGCAATTAGCAGCAGGAGAAATTACTTAAGTTTGCTGCGGTCTAATAGAGGGAGACAACCTGGTGCAGCAGCAGCAGCAGCAGCAGCAGCAAACCTCAGCAGCAGCACAGCAAATACACCGTCAACACGACGGCGTTTGCTGCAGCAGCAGCAGCAAGTACTCGAAAGGCAGCTGCTGCTGCAGCAGGAGGTCTGTCTAAGATTCTTCCAGCAACAGCAGCAACAGCAACAGCAGCAGCAACAGCAGCAACATAACCACAGTCATTCCCACCAGCAGCAGCAGCAGCCGGAGCAGCAGCAGCCGCAGCAGCTGGAGCAGCAACAGCAGCAGCAACAGCAGCAACAGCAGCAGCAAGATGTGGAGCTCTCGACACCCGCCGCTTGTGGAGTTGAGGGAGCAGCAGCAGCAGCAACAGAGGCAGAGAACAGCAGCCATAGCTGAGCGCAGCAGCAGCTGCTGCTGAAGCAACAGCAGCTACTGCAGCAGCAGCAACTGCTGCTGCTGCTGCTGCTGCTGCTGCTGCTGCTGCTGCAGTTTTCTTGTTCGTGGTAAAATGGATGTTTTTTGGGGTTTTGTTTGATGGGGAGAAGAAATGTTTAAAGTCTTTATTTTATTTATATAAAGAATTTATTTATTTATTTTATTTATTTATTCTTTTTTCCTTATTTATTTATATATATAATTATATATATAATTATATATTATATATATAATTATATAAT